GGCCGCGTCCAATTGGGACAACCCTTGTACAATGGAGCCCCGAGATGCAGACAACATTGGTGCTTGGACCTTGTCCCTATATATGTTGGAATCTCCGCATGTCGGATGACATATTTTCTTCAACTTGAATGGGAATATAATTACTTTGTTTGGTTCTTCTCTGCTAGGAAATTACGGAAAAGTCCCGCAAAAATGCAATGAAAAAATTTTTCTCATATTAATCCAAGAGACAGAAAATAACTATAGACAGAAGAAGAACCATGCAGAGTCCGATATTTTGGCGTGATAAGGAGCCCGAACAGCTAAGATCAAGCACAAGTCTTCCTATACTGTGCACAAAAGAATGGAATTAACTCTGAAAAAAACACAAAATTAGCCTGCTATGGATTATATGCTGTATTTCAATTAATTTATATTAAAATGCATTCGTAATAATTTTGATTTTTAAAATCTCAATTTTTTCGAAAGGTATCAATATTTTGTAAATTAAAATTATTTCTCCATTTTTCTAGAAATTTTATTGAAGTGTCCGCATCATTATATGAGACATTGTCCAGATGCCTTGGCAGATTCTTTTTTTTTTTTTTACTTTCAAGTTTCTTCAAGTCGGGTCGTCCGCATGTCGGGGCCCCACTGCACCTGAAAAGACATCTTGGCTGTCTCATTCACGGAAACCCTGGTTCAAAACAACCTACTAGTTTATGAAGTATAATCTTGCAAAACTCGAGCATTGTTTGCCGCAGAGAAATTGTTTCACAGATGTATCTTTAAGACGGACAAAAACTGGCGATTGCATCCAGACTGGTGAGCATGAATCATTTCACAATATGTTTGGGTTGTTTCAAATTTAAAAGTCAAGAAATACCATAGTATCTCTCAAGAAGAAGAGATTAGGAGTGCCAGAGCATTTACGCAGCTTATGTGATACTGACGTGCAAAAAGTTATCTTACAGAGGCTCAGGCAATGCATAGGATACTATTAAGAGGAAACTGATGGACAGATTTGGGCTGGATGGGAAGGAGGTTTGGTTGTGGAAATCTTGATTGAACCTTGTCAATGCTGAAAAGTGGCAAATAAAGTGTTCTGTTCATTCATTCATTCATGGACAGTGTTCTCAGATGGCATTTTCTGAGAGATTGACACTTTATCTCCAGTCAGTCTCTATACTTTCAACAATGAAATTTCACTTCAGCAAAGGTCACAACGTGAAAGGAAATCAGATCAAAGATAAAACACAAAGAACCAGTTGGCCAGTGATTGTGAGCAGATACAGCATATATCATATTTACATCACTGTGGTTTGAAAAAAAAGTTGAAATATTTTGAAAACCACCCAAAAAAGCAGTGTTATATTCTTTAAAAATCCATATTCTGAATATTCAGAACAAAATGTCGAGATCAGTAAACACCTTCAACCTTAGCTGAGCAACTTTCAGCCAGCAACTGAGGAGTCATCTATTAATTCTTTCTCCAAGGTGATGGACAAAATCGTATTTGATTTAGATGAACAAATATTTTCTTCATTTAAGAAAATAGGGGGAATGAATAAGATACCTCAGTCTTTTAAACGTCAGATACTGTACAATTGTAGAAAATTTGACAAGTTTTAGGTATCCATCCATTTAGAGCAATTTATTGTGTATTTTTCATGTACAGGTTGGTACCTTGCAATTCGACCCTAATCCGTTGCCAAACTAGGGTTGAATTGCAGAGCAGTTGAATTGCATGGCGCTTTGTTAAATTGAAAAATATCTGTACAAAAACGCAAAAATTACAGGTCAAATGCAAGTCAACCTCCCTGCGAATTCAACCGTCGAATTTTGAGGTACCACCTGTACTCTATTCCACAGAATGTATACCTCTTTTATCATCGCAATGAGGTCTTAGAGTGCTTGCTAAACATTTGTAAGGCTAGCTAAATAATTTCTAAAAATGTTGTTTTAAGTTTTAACAATTCCCTATAATAAGTAGAACAGATAATGGGAAAAATACAATTTTAGGTGTTTTTACAATAATTATCCAGTAAATAAAATAATAAATTGTTGTTCTAACCATTTTGTAAAATATAGAAGAGATTATGGGTAAAACATTAAATTTGTAGCTGGCCTGACGACAATTCCAAAAATATAAAAATTTATAAATTGAATGAAAAATTGTGTTTTAACAATTCCCTAAAATTTAGGAGAGATAATGCGTAAACAAAAAGCAATTTTTATCTGGTCTGACAAATTTTTAGTACCCTGTGACATGTTTGGAGGTCACTGCTGGCTGTAACAGAAAAGTTTTCACTTGATAATCTTGCAACAAATGAAAAGACTTTTTTTTAATTCCGAAAAAAAATCCGAGAATTTCAGAACATTTGAGTTATGTCATGAAATAATTTTTTAAATATCACGCCTAGTTTGGCGTGTCCCCCGTATATTTTTCATTGACCGTAAATTGTATCCACAGGGTGTACTGCTCGTATCATCGCAAGGACATTCAGCGGCACCGGTTCGAGACGCCGGAAGAGGAACTCATTCACTTCCTGGAGCGGATGATGAAGCCGCCTAATTTCCAGTGGCGGCCGGAACGAGTCCCGCTCAACGACTCCGACCCTGGTAACGTACACGACCCGACCCCCAACATTCCCTTCGTCTTTTTTTTCGCGTGCCAAAATGAGGCGAAAGACACTCAACGACGCCGCGTTTCTGTTTCTTCAATGCGTGTTATTTTTTGCCGCCTCTCTCGCATCTGATGATGATGATGATGACTTCCTGCCGACGACAGAGAATTACTTTTGTGAGTGGATTTTTGCCCAATTTTATTTTATTTTTTGTAATAATAATTCATATATTTTGGCGATATTTATCTCAGTAAAAATGTCGTCACAACGAACTTTCACAGACCTGGGCAAAAGCTTATTACAGGATAACGAGATTCATGGGTGCACTTTTAGCCGTAGCCCTGCAATTTTGTGGGAAACAGGTAATAGATGATTTAAAGTACATTACTATACTTTTATCCATGCATTATAGAGATGTGTAAAAAATTGCTCAAATTTCCAACTTCTTCTGATGAAATACATTACCAGAGAAAATTTTCAAAATGTGAAATGCAAGTCTCTTATTTAGGTCTTCTCTTTGTTACTGTTTCTACTCTAGAAATATCGTCTTACTGAACTTATCGTCTTACCAGTCTTACTGGAGCCTGAGCCGAAACAAACGGAAAATATATTCGTTAGAAGAGCATGTAATTTTTATGAAGTGTATGTTCCCTGAAATGGAGCAGTATCCTTCCAAACATATGTTTCTTTTAAAAAAAATTAGCCGTTTCTAAATTTTAAAAATATAGTTAAATACGTTTTGAATACGCACTGTACAGCTTCATTTTCTCGCATGGCTACATTTTCAGTAATGCACAAGTTGAATTTTCCCATGGTGTGACCACTGGTGAAAATCGCCATTGGCCATGCACACATGATCAATTGGCAAAAATTATTTTTACTGAGAGCATATAGAGGAAAATTAGTTTGTATGATAATGAAACTTTTGTAACATTATGCCCATGAAGAAACTGCCGTGACCGAGGAAAAAAATCGTTATAACGAGATCATGTTATCCAACTGATTGATTTACGCTGTATTTTTATTATGTTGTGTCGCACAGGTGACAAAGACCTCGTGCAGTTCTTGCTATTCGACGCCATGGCCACCGATGTCTACAACGCCTCTGACAATGGAGTGAAATACGACAGGTGAAAAATAATTTCCTCTAAAACCACTTTTTGTTTTGTTTTTTGCTGCGTGCTCTGCATTTACGTCAGTAAACTAAACTGAACGAAAGGAAGTTAAATAAGGTAACTGACTGCGGTATTCTATTGATTCGGACTGTGCTATTTAAACGCAATAATGACGCAGACGGACATTTTATTGCAATATAAGGCCCGTTGCATATTGTGTGAGAAATGTTGCCGATTTTCCGAAGACCACGATTATTTTTCTCATTGACGATATCGGCATCGAATAGAAGGTTAGACGTGTTTACAGCAAAATTCAAGGAACCAAAAACAACTACGTTGCGTATATATAAAAGAATTCTGCCGTATACGAGATCAAAAACGAATTCGTTATGTAGAGAAAAATTTGGCCGAGATTCCACCTGTTCACTATTATTATGCTGGTCTAAGATACCTTGGTTAATTATTAGAATGTTTTCCTGTGCAAATTCCATTGTCTGAAAGTTGAGTAATTTGATACGTTTTGAGATCTTCATCTTTTTTAATGTTGAAAGTGACAGTTTAGTCGGGTTGTATTTGTTGGGAGAGTGCAGTGAAAATCTCCCAAGTTGATGTACCGTGAAAACTCGGATTCTGGTGGACCCTATATATATCTGAGGCTTGGTTTGTAAAAGATGCTGGTAAACGAGCATTTGCCATCATTGAAGGCGGATGCAAATATTTTTCTTTTGCTCTTCAAATCTTCATTGATGTCTAATAAATTTTCCATCAAATATTCACCTACAGAAGGAAACAAGAAAAAGACCTGGATCACAGTGAATCCTCTCCACTGAAGTGAAGTTTAATTGATCAAGAACAGCTGAATGCGCACTTGCATGCTCTATGACTTTGGGGGTTGCGTCGTATAAACTTCACTTCAGTTTCAGTGCACGGCATTCACTGTGATCTAGGTCTCTTTCTTGTTTCCCTCTGTAGCTGAAGAGTCGATGAAAAAGTTATTGAACACCACTGAAGAATTGAAGGGCAAAAGAAAAAATTGCAACAGCCTCCATTGAGAGCAAGTATGCTGACCATTTATCATCTTTTACAAACCAATCCTCTCGTACGTATAGACACTAAAGTGTTCCACTCGATAAAAAGTTATATAGTGAAAGACTTGAACAGCTTTACACTGCTGCGTCTTCTGAATATCACAAATGAGTTCATATGATGAGACGTTATAGCTGATACAATCGCATTTTTATACTGTACAATTGTATTTAACACAGTGTAGCGTTTTTTTATTTATTTTTGCCTGCTGATTCCTTGGCATATAATTCCATCTTCCTCCTCTTACTTGCTTGATTGCATTCATTAAAGCCCGGATAGCTTCATGGACGCATTAATGCAATTCGTACCCAGGTAAAGTATGATCAGGTAGATGAAATAATTCCTTCACGCCCTTCCGTTTCCACGACTGCCAAAGTCAAGAATGCAGGACCGCAAATCAAAAGAGGAGCCGATCACACGATGATGACGTTGTGATATCATTGATGTGTAATCATTATTTTTAAAACGCTGGACCACGGAATTCTGCAGACGGTATTCGCATTTTCCTGGGAGAAATATTTTTTCGCGCAATTGTTTATATACTGTATGGGTATAATGTTATTATTGTGCTGGTCTATTGTGGCTTTTGCGAATGAAGGTGTATCTGGTACATATATGCAGTTACGCGGGGCCCCGAGATTCGGACGTAATCGATGTTCGGACTTTGTCCATATGTCGGAACGTCCGCATGTCAGATCACGTTTTCCCTTAGACTTCAATATGGGATTATATTGAATTGCTTCTCCGCTGTGATGAGCCAAAAATTTACGAAAAAGCCTCTCAAAAGTTAATAAAAATGTTTTTTCTCTACTTCAAGATGTAGTAAATAACTCTGCAGAGGAAAACTATGCGAAAACTTGTCTTTTAGCATCAAAAGGAGCAAAACAAATGAAGACCAAGAGCAAGTTGTGCTGTAATACTTTCCACGGATGATGGAAAGAACTCTAAATGAAATAAGCAGAAAATTAGCCTGTTTTGATGATGAATCTAAGTAAATTTTCAATAACATTTATTTTCAACTTTGGTGAATGTAATATACCTCAATTTTTCAGATAAATGTCCCAAATTTTGAAAAATAAGCATTTTTTAATTTTTTAGAAAAAGTTGAAAAATTATCCCTGTATCTTGAGACATTTTCCAAATTATGGGGCAGAGCTTATGCATTTATATGGTGTCCGTAAGTCGAATTGTTCCTCTGTTGGGGACTCACTATATTATTTTATACTGTATGTCAATTTTATTCTGTTAGAAAATTTAAGAAATTAATGAATGCTAAATAAAAAATTCACAAATCATGAAAATAACTATGAAAAATGAAGCACAAAATCAAACTCATTTGGTTATACTGTACATTACTTGAAATTTATAATGAAAATATATTTCTTGTGAGTATAAAATCTCAGTTTTTCAAGAGATATCAACATTTTCTTGAATAATTTTCTCCATTTGTTTAAACAGTAAATGTTGAAAAAGTGTTCATATCTCGATCGAGACATTTCTCTGGATGTTGGGGCAGATTTTTGAGTTTCAAGTGTCTCTATAAGTCGAATCGTCCGCATGTCGGGTCCCCCATCACTGTATACATTATTGGCTTATGGCACTCTAGACTGGCACTATATTTGATGACAAATGTTGTTGTTGTTGTTGAACGAGTCGTTTTTGAAGAAATCTGTGAAGCAGATGGTTAGAAGAGAAACTTACTGGAAGACTTGGCTTTTTTTTTCTGTTCTCGTTTCTGCTGTATGCACTTTCGTGCAGTCCGGAAGAGACGCCGTCGGTGCTACGGGCGTTTGTGGCAACCCGGAGCGGACTGACGCGATGGCGGGATTACCACAAGGTACCACAGGAGCCAATCGGGGCGCCGATCACAGACGACGACTACGACGACACCGAGTACTACGCCGAGGACATGTAAGCATCGATCGCTTGCAGAATAACTGGCGTTTATTTTGTGCTGCTGGTGGTGCCATATTTTTGGATCACGAGTATTTTCTTTTCATTAGCGCGTGATTTTGAATTCTCTTTAAAATATAATCTATTGGGCATCATCACTGCAAGTATTTATCGCGTGCAGCAGCACTCGGTATACCGTAATAAAGCCCTTGCAAATTATCATAGGAAGTATCAATTTAAATTCAAACATATAGGATTCATAGGATTCCAGTTTCTGCGCATATATGGTTGATTATGGGGAAAATGAGACAGAAATTGGTTTTGTTTGTGAATCAGGAAAAATCGATGACGATTTTATTTTCTTCTATACTGTAGTTGAGTACTGTAAAATTGTTCTTTTTTAAAGCATGAATTGATTCCGGAAACAATTCCAAATGCTGTACTAACGTTTCAGCAAGTTGTTCTGAGCATTTTTTTTTTTCAAAAGAAAACTAATTTAAAAACATTTTTCAAAAAAAAATCATGAACATTTTTTCTTCATCTCAACTAATTTTGATACAGAAAGGTTCCAGTGTTTCACAACTCAGATGCGGCTAAGGGCTACATTCCTGCGTTTTGTATACACAGCAACGTGTTGGTGAAACTTGCCGCTTTCTATAACTTGCTGCACACCCAACCTGCCACAAGCAGTGGAACTTGCTGCAGTGTTAACTTGCTGCTGTCACAACCTGCTGCAGTGTTAACTTGCTGCTGTGATAAGTCACTGCAGGTGGAAGTTTCCACTGCAACAACTCACCACTGTAATGACTTGCTGCTACCACAATTTGCCAAATGAATTGCTGTCACTTGCCATTGCATTGACTAAAATTTCAGGAAAAAAAGGAATTCCCACATTCTTCCACTTCTTAACTAGGCATTCTGCCGTGTGAAATTTTTTAGAATATATAGAGAGGGTTCAATGAATTCCTCCATTATTTCAATGAATTAAATTCTAAAAATTTCTAGAACTGTCTGAATCAATCTTCAAGTACAGCATGTTGAAAGAGTGGTAACTTATAACTACTGCAAGTTGTGACTGCAGTGAGAACTGATTGTGGCAACTTGTGACTGTGGTCACTTCAGGCTGCAGTCAGCTGCAGCAGCAGCAAGTTAGGGTGTGGCAAGTTGAAGTGTGGCAAGTTCAACTGTACGTGGCAAATTTCACATGCACTGCTTGGCAAGGACCACATTGTAGATGTGGAGAGTCATTGAAGGCCATGAAAGACAATACATTTTTGTGTTTCTGAATTTCCCAATTTTGAATGAAAAGTTTCGAATTTAATCCTGTGCTGTGCATTAAATTAAACATTATGACCTTGGATATAATATTTGAAGGTAGGCAAGCAATATTATAAATGTTGAGAATCCAACCTTCAATCATTGGCTGCCACTTGGAAAACTAAAGGGAAGGGATGACTGCGGGTTGAATGAATATTTTCTGCTGTAGGCCAGATCTGGCCCACGGGCTGAATGTGTGGGCCAGCAGCACATCCTTTTCCATCTTCAAAGTGCTATCTTCTTCCCAGTGCAATGTCATTAGACTACTCTTCAAACATTGTCTAGAAAATTCCCTGTATATTTTTGTCAAATATCACGCGAACTTTTTGTTCTCTAAATTTTGGGACAAAAAAATAAGTGCGCGTAATATTCGAATAAAATTCATGATATTTTCAAAATTTTAAGGGATTTTTTCCTTTTATTTTGCGTCAAAAATCATGATTCTTTATTACACAGCTCACAGCGTTTCTTGGTTCATTGATGAAAATTAAAAGTATTTGATATTTACTCTGTGGTAATTGCGCTTAATTCCGTATTCTGACGATGAAGGAAAGTGCTGATGTGGAATTTCGAGGGGGAAAATCCCTGTATATTCCTATAGCATTGCTGTTTTTTTTTTTGGCAAACCAAATTTGTACTGTTTTTTTTTCTGCTCAGGATGTGGAAAGAGAAGAACGCAAAGGCGATTGACGAGCCCTCATTTTTTGCCTTAAATTGCAGGATGAATGAGTTTACAGGATGTTGAATAACTTGGAGGCAAAAGGGTTCATTTGCCAAATTCGAATGCTATTCGTAGTATTTTTCGTAGTGCAATTCGTAGTAAAAAAAGGAAAAAATCCCTTTTCTTTTGTGGCAAAAATCATGATTCGCTTATTGTACAGCGTTTCTTGGTTCATCGATGAAAATTATGAATATTTACTCTGTTCAAATCGCGCCTATTTCCGAATTCTGACGATGACTGAAAGAGCTGACGTGGATCTTCTGAGAATATCGTCCCTTCATATTCGTGGCTTAGCTGGTGTTTTTATTTTGTACTTCTTTTTTTTGCGAACCACAATGCGTACAGTACAGTATTCTATTTTTCTTCTCCTCGTCAGCATGTGGAAAGAGAACAACGCAAAGGCGATTGACGAGCCCTGGTATCGGCGCACTGTCATCTTCAACGAAGAAGAGTCGGAGGAGAACAGCTTCGTTTATTCTGTGCCTTACGATGCTTGTGAGTGTAACTCTATTTATGCTGGTGTTGAGTATTTTATATCAGTGATCCCCAACCCGTGGTCCGCGGGAAATGTTCAGCATAAGCAGTCATCAAAACTCGGGATGAAGTCTGTATACTCTTTACCTCAAGTTCATATAGGAAGGACGATGGCAATAATCACAATCATCGGATGAAAATAAATGTTGGCTTTTCTTCTAAAATAACACTTCAGACGCATTTTCACCTGCCGAAATACTGGAAATCATTACATTTTTTTCCTTCCGATAAACTTTACTTCAAACACGCATTTTTAATGTTTGGATGATAGCTAGCCTTAGCTGCTTCATTGGTGACTAACTGAGTTTTCGAAAAGAAAAAAAACCAAAAACTTTTAAACATGTGCTATGAAATCTTTCAAGCAAAACTTTTCCAAGTCTGCAAACATTTTATGAAAACTTTTTCATCCTGCAGAAATTTTTTTGTGAATTTGCTGGTTAACAAAAGGTGTCATGGAAATTTTCCCGGTCCGCGAAAAATGTTATGGGAATTTGCTGCTCCGCGGGTCTGAAAAGGTTGGGGAACACTGTTTTATATGATATACACTCGAAGCTCTTCGTAAAATGCCAAAAGGGGCTAGAGAAATACTTCGAGTTACGAGAATGGCTATTTTTTTTCCTCCGAAAGGAATAAAAAGAATTGCTGCGGAAATTCGTCATTTCTTGCCTTGAACTGCAGAATAAATGAGCTGATGGGGTGCTGAAGTCGGAGGCAAAGGGGTTCATTTGCCCAATTACTCTTTCACCTCCTTTAAAAATGCATGAAGTTATCTGTTTCATTTCATTGCTTTTCTCTTTCCTGTGGCGATGAAATGTTCGAGTTATGATGGAGGCATGAGGAGGCAGTTAATGGGTTGTTTGTGAAGAGAATTCGAACTGGAATTTTTGGAAATTCGGCATATAATGAAGTTCGAATTATTGAGGTTCAAATGTACTGTATGTCTTCATGAGAGAATTCTGCGGAGACACCAAAAAAAGAAAGACGTTGAAGACGCTGCTTTAAATTGATGAAGAAATTACATCAAATAACATGCCTCAAATGATTCTTTCTTTGTCGAAGTGCCTGCAAAAGTGGTGCACTTCTGGAACTTATTTTATAGTTCGTCAATGATTGGTTCATTCAGTCGCGTACTTGTTATTGGTAAAATAACAGTTTTATTTGAATCATCGTTGACATTTTTTCTCCGAAAAGACAAAATTACATCCTCTGATACTTTTGTTTTTTTGTGTTCGTCAGCCAACTACAACGATTGCGTCGTCACTGTCACCAAGTCCATCTTCCTTCACAAGCCTTCGGACTGGTACAAAAAGACTCCAGTAGCCGTCGTGGGATTCCAGTTCAAGCATTCTTACTTTTCCGAAATATTCATGAACTTCACCAGGAAGGTCAGTTGCTTGACGAATACTACATATTACTATATAGTATAAGTACACTGGTGCTGGCCTCGAGATGCGGACGTTTTTGGTGTTTCGACCTCGTCCCTCTATATGTCTGATCGTCATCCGTGTGTCGGATTATATTTTTCCTCAAGACTTTCATGGGAAAATACTATATTCCATTTGTTTTCCCTTTATTAAACAAAAATTATGAAAAAGTCCCCCAAAATAAATAAATTAATTAAATTTTCTAAAATTCGAGGTACGGAAAATAATTTTGCAGGGAAAAAAACCCAACCGTGATCTGATCTTTCGGCACCAATTAAGAGGAGCACAAGAACAAAGCTGTCGATACTATGTGCACCAATGATGAAATAAAACTCAGAAAAAAGCATAAAATTAGCCTCTTATTTTTGCGATATATTACAGTAAATTTATTTAAAGAAATGAATTTTCGATTTTTCCAAACATTACGGAAGTGTGGTATTAGTGTAATTTTTACACTAGAGATATCCAAATTTTGAAAAATAGAGAACAAATAAAATCTTTATATACTATGCATTATTGAGGAAAAAAATACTCTGAAAAAAAGAAGAATAAATTAGCCTGTTTTCGAGATGAATTGGAGTTAACTTTTTTTTCTGCATATTCGATTCTTCTGAACATTAGGTGCCTCAAGGTATACTAGAGATATCCAAATTTTTAAAAATCAAACTTTCCCCTTTTTTGTCTAGGATAATTAATGTTTCAAGTCCATATCTTGAGACTACATTGCCCATCAAATGTTGCGGCAGAGTTTTTGCTCTTCAAGTGTCCCTAAGTCGAATCGGGGTCCCACCTTCTCCATTATTGTATGCTGCTGTATCTGTTCAAAATTTAAAAAAAAAAAGTAAATGAAGGAAAATTGCTGATCAAATTTTCCCCTTGAAAATTAAAAAAGAGTTAAATAAAGAGAAATTGATGATCAAAATTTCCCCTTGCGTTCATTAAGATGCTTAATGATGATGCTGTTTAATTTTTCCACTTCCTCGACAAGTGTGCGGACAAACCCGGCGGCGGCGGCGGCGGTGGTGGTGGCGGCGGCGGGGACTCGTCTCACGGGGACAACTGCCACCTGACGTGTGCCAAAGAGACCCTCAACTGCTATTTGCTGGATGAACACGCCTGGGTGCTGGAGTCGGAGAAACCCGCGGATGTGGGCAAGTTTTTCGGCATCATCGACGCGAGGATCATGGATTCCCTGGTGCAGGACGACATCTATCCCAAGACCCACTTGTACGACTACCAGGGGGTCTGCTTGGCCGAATACAAGCGCTCCGGACCGGGCAACACCCTGATGAACGTTAGTACAGTACAGTGTGCAGAGAAGTCCTCTTACAACGAATCTGCTCTCGATGTAACGAATTTTCTTCTTGGTCCGATCATCAAATGATGTTTTCTCTCCGAAAACGCATTTTAAGCTGATGTAATCCAACTACATCAAATTATTGACATTACCTGATTCTGCGCATGGGCCATTAGAAATTATACTGTATGTGATCTGATCATTGACAAAAAATTGAAAAATCAATTTTTTCAGCATCGAAACTTAATCAGAAATAAGCAAATCTTTCTGCAGATGAAGTTTAGTATTCAATAAGATAAACTGCGTGACATGTTTTCTTGTAAATTCTTTAGCTCCAGTTGTTTTTCTTTAAATGAATGTTACAGTAGCAAAGAGTATAGTATATTCTCATGCTGTATTTCAAAGATTCAATGCGCTTGAATGAAGTTGTTGATTTGGAAGGAATTATTTCTCCAATAGTATAATAAGAATTGTAAAATGAGGAACTATAGTTTGGGAAAAGGACTTTAGTATGCTTATAACCGCACATATATCCATTTGAAAACAAAACACAAAAAATAATAATGTTCCTCAAAGAATGTTTGAAGGTTATGTACAGAATTGAACAGCAAGCCTTATTTGGTACTTTCCTGTTATCTCAGTACCTCCTTTTCTGCCATCTCTGTACCTTCCCTCTGACCAATTTAACCTGACCTAACCTAACATCACCTAACCGCCTCCCAAAATCAGTTTCTGCTTTCTTTGGGTTTCTGCTGAAACTGATTTTGGGAGGTGGTTAGGTAAAGTTAGGTTAAGTCAGGTTATGTTTGTTAAAAGATATTTATAAACATAACCTGACCCAGCCTAACTTTACCTATAACTGCCTCCCAAAATCAGTTTCAGCAGAATGCATAAAATTAAAATTCAGTTTCTGGTAGGTTGTCGTGATTATGAACTCGTCCTAAAGATTTGTCTGGATGGTAGTTTGGTCTAGGAATGAGGTACTGAGATAACAGGAAAGTACCCTTTATTTCCTGCTCTTCAGTCTTAACAAGGTTCAAGCATCATTATTGCATCCAAACCCCCTCCCCTCCCCACCCACATTCAGCCAAACACATTCCATCACATCAGAATAGAAAATAGCAAAATGAGCTGTATGTGGATTTTTTAAGCAAAAATACATCCAAAAATGTACAATTGCACAACTGATGTATTGAAAATGTCAGTAATAAGAATTGCACCATAAGGCAATTACTGATCCCAAATTAAAACGCAAGGTGTTTAGCCTGCTTCCAGATACAGTTGAGTTGATTGAACAATTTGGAGAGAATCTTTGATGAGAAATTGTATCAAGTTGATAGTTGGTCTTGGTCCTCTTGAGATTTTGGAAAGAGCCTTTCCATTAAATTTTAGGAGCCCTAAATCTTTTTGAAGCTCACTTTTGTAGTTGTGAAATGCTGGGCATAAGAAAAGAAGGCTCTGGTAATGCATTAACCAATATCCTTATATACTGCTGAAATTAAATCACTTAGACACCCTAGAGCATTTAATGATTTTTTAAAATTGAAATGGCAGGAATTTGTCATAAGAGCTATGGTATCAAGTATACCAAGCGGCGATGTTAGATTATATGAATAGTAAAAGTATGTACATGTTTTTGTTTCTTGTTTCTGATGATCTCCTTTTCAATAGAATATTGTCATTCATTTGTGTTCTGCATATTTATTCGACAGCCATTTACGCAGCTGGGCCAGTTGGCCACCTGGCTCTGGACAACCATTGCGTGGTGCCTGGTCCACTTCAACTTGGCCTCAGTGTTCCAATCTGCATCTGTTTTTGGACAACAACACAGCTTCCCTATGGACTACGAAAGCAACCACCATTTGAGAGGTTCCGATGATTTCCACTACGACACTGGTGAGGGCAAAAAATTATAGACAATTTTGAGAGTCAGTTTGAAAGCTTTTTTCTTTGCAACTTGGAACAGGTGAACAAGCTGAGTTTGACAGTTTTTTTCCCAATACAATATATACCTCGGAATATTCGTCCAAATATAATTCAACGAGGGTTTCGATTTATAATATTATGAATAAAATTTTCCACTTATTTCTTCGTTTGGAAAATTTTATAGAGTGTTTCGAATCGATTGATTAAAATTACTGTAGCTCATATGTTTTACAAAATACTCTACTCTGACAACTCCTTGGTGTTGGAGACATTTTTGTCGAATTTCCAAGAATGGCTCCTTTTTGAATTTTGAATTATAGTGAATTCAATAGAATTATAGGAACATTATAGTGAATCCATTTTGAATTATAGTGAATTCAAAATGGAAATTGATTTTCAATTGTGAATATAAAAAAAGCTTGATTATTTTTGAAAGATGCCAAAAAATTGAAAAATGAAGTTTTTTCCCAATTTTCTATAGCAGTGTTCCACATAACCCCGGGTCTGCGGGAAATTTTCTTCAGCATGAATTTAGGAAAAGTAGCTATGAAGTCTGTTTTTATCCTTATCTGAAATTTTAAGAGAAATGAAATAACGAAATTTTGGAAAGACATATATAGACAATTGAGATTATCCGATGAAAAGTACAAGTTTGCTTTTATTTCAGTTATGCTTCTGGCAAATCTTTACCTGCTGAAATCAAATATTTTAATTTTTCATTCTGAAAAAACCTTTTTTCAGCCCCACCTCTCCAATTTTTTGAAGACATTCCATTCTAGTTGCTTCATTGGTTCTTAATTTAATTTTTGCAGAAATGCAGAAACTTTTTAAAACCCAACAGTCTTTCAAGCAAAACTTTTTTGAGTCCACAAACATTTTATGAAACTTTGCCAGTCTGCCAAAAATTCCATGGAAATTTGCTGGTCTGCTGGCCCAAAAAGGTTAGGGAACACTGGTCTATAGAAATTTTGTTCAAGTGTCCTAATCTTGTGGATGGATTATTTCATATATCAATAAGGTGTCCCAAAGACGTCGTCCGCATGTCGGGGCCTCCCCACACTGTACTGTTGTGACTCGCGTGTTCATATATATTTATAGATAACAACGGCTATGACACGGACTACGACAACCAAGTGCCGGACGGGCCACAGGCGCCCACGGAGCCCGCGCCCGGCGGCGGCGGCGGACAGGACGACCAGGAAGAGATGGACGAGAGCTACTCGGACGCCGACTACGCCGACTCCTTCCTCGTGCCGCAATTCGAGGACGCCTACATCAACAAGACGAAGCCCAGGCCGTGTCCGCTGGAGGTGGACCTCGTCTACTTGAACGTGTCCAAGATCCGGAATGTGACCATCAAGGGGAAACTGTCTGACTGCGGGGGACGCAAGGGCTGCTACAGGTAATGATCAGTGATGATGATCAGCATGTATCATTATATTATGTTTATTTTTATTATTGAAGCCTTCTTGTCTCTGTAATTCAGTGCGGGTTTCCGAGAAACGGAACTGCAGTCAAACTTGGATTTAATGCCATCATGGGTTTGGAATATTAGGACAATTTAATATAGGCAATGTGAAACAGGGCAAATGTGAGACAGGATTATTAAGAGGCTTGGCCAATTTGATAGACAGAGCCAATTTGAAACAGGGCCAATTTGAGAGACACTGGCAATTTGAGGGACAGTGCCAATTTTAGAGATAGTGCAAATTGTGCAAATTGAGAGAGATCCCTTGGATAACAGGGCCATTCAGAGGCAGGGCCAATTTGAGAAAATACCACTTTGAGACAAGAACACTTCAAGACAGGGCCAATTTGAGAAAATAATAATTTGGGACAGGTTCAATTCAAAACAATCTGAATTAGAGACAGAGGGTCAGTGAGAGACAGCAGCAAAACTAACATGGGACCTTCACATGCATTTTCATCTCCATTGTCTTTTTTCTCGGAATTTTTCATTCAAAACCTTCATGACATACGACTCTTTTTAGCATGACTTTTTTAGCACTTGTGTTTTTTTTTTGCAAATTTTTTTCTTGATAGTTCTCTCAATCTGCTTTTGTTTCATGGCAGTGTTCCCATTTTAGATGTAAAGTTCTTTTTATTTATTTTGCACCTAGCTGTAGCATTGTACACCTGTCCTTCAAGTTTTTAAATTCTTTTTACTGAGAAAAGGTTCCTCAGAAGTGCAGAGGGAAAGAATTGACTATGAGACCCAAGTAAATTTACTGAAATATTATTTTTTTGTGGAAAGTGTTGACTCCACCCACCATCTCTGGCATCAATCTTAGGCAGTTCCTGTATTCATCAACGCTTCTTCGAGCTTTTCTTCTAATTTTTTTAAATGCATTCTTGAATTTGAGGCTCATTAAAAAACCTCAGTAAATATTTTATTGATTTCCATGGACACTTGCGAGGTTCTGGAACCAATTGGAATTATTCTTGTACTTTTCAAGGGTAAAGGTGATTTGGTTAACAAACTTTTCTCAGCAATGGATTAGCTAGGTTTGTAAATGGAGACCCCAGTCTACAGCTAGTGTAACAAACTTTTTCTGAAAACCCCATCAGAAGTTTTTTTTTTTTTTTATCAATATTTACGTGCAGTATACTGTATATGAATATGCTCAAACCATGGCATTGGTTGATTATTTGTTGTTGTTGATGTTGTGTTTTTGTCTTCTTCCTCTTATCCATGTATGTGAAATATGCACGTCTATATATATATATATTATATAGACACTTCACCGTGCGCAAGATCCCCAGCACGAACCTGGTGTTCCTGGCCGTGGAGGCGCCGTGCAAGTGCGGCGAGCACGAGACGCAGAGCCGGGCTCGTCGCGGCCTCACCGCCGTCCCGTCCGAAATTGACGAGCTGAAGAACGCCACGGGGGAGATGCGGTGCCGGTGGCTCAACCGCCGCCTCTACCGGCGCCACCCGTCGGACTGCACCAACTACCACGTCAGGGTATGTGTATATACTGTACTTGCATATATATATGCAGCAGTATATATGTACATAAATGTGTCATCATCTGCGAGCATCATTTTCCGTGAATGTGTATTGCAGCAGGGATGTTATTGTACAGGTGGACTCTCTTTCTCTCAACAACAATGTTGTTATTGTCTCTGTATACTGTATGATGGATTTTCATTTGTGGTCCAAAACATTATTGGGCACAAAAGACCACAATATAAATTGATCTCAAGTATTTTGTCAATAAGCAATAAAACAAATCTATAAGTCCAGGACTGGACTGGAATTCCTTTTGGAATTCCTACTTTAACAGGATAACACTGGATTTCACAAATACGTTTATATAAATAAACAACTCGACACGCTCGGGCTTGTAAAGATAATGAGGATAACTTGAGTAATGCACAGTTGAACTGAATCTGAATCTAATCATTGTAAAAAGAGCTGCTTATATAAGCAATTATATTTAACTTTCATAAGGTTTTATTATGCAATCAGAACAGAAGAAGTTATTGTTGAAGATGCTACGGTGCCAGGATGTTCCTGGCATTTTGAATTTTGTTGAAGAGAGAGTACACACTCCATTGTACAGGGTTGGACAAGAAAAAAGGAACCAATTTTTGATTTCCAATGATTTGGCAGCAAATGAAGCTGCAGCAATAAAAGAAACTATTAAATGAAAGTTTGTTCAATTCCCTTTCAAATGGTGTGTTATCCCAAACATAAAATACTTCAGATTTCTATAAAATATTTAATATATATATTTCGATATTCACATCAACGTAAAATATAAATTCAGGAAATTAAGGAAGTCTTGCTAAAATTGCTACAAGGCTTCCTGAGAAATAACCGCGTCGAGGTTTGGATAATTTCTGAGGCTAGCTCAGGAAAATCAGAGGTTTATATAAACTTGACAGGAATCGAGGATCAGCGAGATTCCTTCAAGTAAAAGAAATTCATGAGGTTTTTCTTTAAGACCTCATGCATACATTATAATACAACACAGGT